TTTACAATTCTACTATTTGTTAAAAATATATTGCAATTTTGATATTTGTTATTTCTTAATTATCAAATAAGACACAAAATACTAATATTATACTATTTTTATAATCTTACCTTTTATGACCTATTTAATTATTAAGGATGAGATACAAATGTTAAATTAGTTCAAGTTATACTATTTTCATATCTTTACCTAAATCTTTTTGCTTTTCTAATCTTTTTCTTACCTATTATCAATAGTACTTTAAGTTATAACTTTTTATTTTCTTTTCTATATATTATTCTAATCTGAAATATTATTAAAAATTTACTATATTTTAGATTTCTAATATTTTTACATTTTATTTTTACAAAGTTACTACTTTAAATAAGTAAGATATCACCAGTGTGTAAAATTCATGTGCACAATGTGCACATGTGCACATTAAATTTTTATGTGCACATATTACACAGCATAAAATGTGCATAAATAATTACTAAAAATAGATAAATTATATATAAAAATGGATAAATTATTTATAAAAATGGAAATACTATGTAATACATGCATTAATTTTCTATTTTTAGTACAATTTGTGCACATAACTTTTGGTCCAAATTTTATACACTGGATATCACATATAATATAATTATATTATATGTGATATTTTACTTAGCCTAGATTATAGTATCACATATAATCTAAATATCATATATAATTTGAATACTATATATAAGACTTATTGCAACAAAATCAGACAAAGTAAACATTAATATTACCAAGAATTTCAGGAATCAATATGTATCTAACATCACAACTGTATTACCAATATAATGTGATCATGATATTTGTCTAGACAAAAATAGTTAATATGAAACTCATTTATATCAGATCTACTATGAAACCTATGAAATCCAAGAATTATAGTACTAACAGAAGTATTTTGAAGAAAGAACAAGGTGAGAAAACTCCTTATATTTTCAAAATAAATGATACTCAGAAACTTGAAGCTTATCTAAAAAAAGAAAGAATTATTTATGAAATTTATCAAGAAGAAAGAAAAAATCATAAATGTTAGAAAAAGAAAACAAAATGAAAGTGTGCTATTATTTAACAAAAAGCAGAAATTCTTAAAAGAAAAATAACTACCATTTTCTTTAATAGTTAGAATTATACAGAGGAAAATAATATATTCTTAGTCTTGATCTCAATATTCTCCTTTCTAAGGTTAGCAATCTCAGCTACGAGTTTAGAATTCAATTCTTTTAACAAGTCAATTTAGGATTGAGTATTTATTATTATTTTATGTAAAATACAGATATGTTTAAAAGTTTGAGTTAATGTATAGAGTGTACTTTCTATGAAAGATAAAAATTATGAGTGCATGAAAAAAATTTGAATGTCTTGATCACTATATATAAATATGTCTCACAATTCTAAGAATAATAAACATAAAACTCAAGGCAAATTTACTATAAATCTAAAATAGTATTTGCAATATCAAAACTGGAATAAATATGTACATATCATGGATGAGAAAGATATAAATTATTTTATATAGGAAGATACAAGACACAAAAGTAATATTCAATTATGAAGAGGTAATATAAATATTTGAAGGTAAATTCAAATTATTAAAATTTGAAAAAGTAGAATAGCAAGTCTATCTATATTTCTTGAAGTAATTATATTAGTTTTTTCTAAATAGTATACATAATAATATGGTTGAAAAATCAAAATTCTGATAATGTAAACAAACTTTATCACAATAAAATGCAAATATCTTTGTCTTCTTTATTAACCAGTATGATCAACGCAAATTACAATTTATAAGTTTGTAAATGAGGCATAAATACATAGTGCATATAATACTTTTTGAGAAAAACTAAACACATAAATTGATTAACTGTAGTATAATTTACCATGCAGATATAATTTTATTAACAATAGTGCTAAGTGCAAATAAAAAATATTTTTATATATCTGTATATATATGATAAAATTAAACTAATTTCTAAAGTACCATCAATTTAATCCATTGACTATACAAGAAGATAAGTTTCACCATTAGAAGGAGTTAGTGATTTAGGATATTCTTTCCTAGATTAACTTTTGTTAGCTTTTCTGGTATAATTTGAACTAAATCCACTATTCTTACATTATCACTACTATTTGAGTGTTTATTTATCTGTTTAGCAGTTAAAAGTATATCAGCTTACAATAATAAAAGTCAGTCACTATCAGTATTTGACAAGGATGTCTATGAATATTTATTATCAATCCTTACTTAGAGATTCATCAACTGGGTCATATCTTTTGCGAAATTTTCAAAGTCTTCAAAAACAACCAGTATTTTCATAAATAAAAATTGATTCATCAAATAAACTGAAGAAAGTAATTGAATTAAGTATTTAATTTATTAATACTTCTATTTGTGAAAAAATATATATGTGTAAATAACTTTTCCATTGTCTGGTTCCTAATTTTGATACTTACTTACTGATTAAATGAGATATACTCTTGCCATTTCTTTTGGTATATTTTTAGTAATTCATTTAAAGCTCTTTTTATATTTCTACTTAGTTTAGTGTGATTATTTACTTCTTTTTTTGCTATTGTTTCTCTTCTGACAAATTCAATTAAAAGAATTGTTTTGCTATTTATTTTTATTCATACAATTTCTTAGCAGTTTCAGTGATATACTAATACTATACTTTCATTGTAGAAAGCTAAAAATCTTATTTGTTACTGAAGATAAGGTCTAGCTTAGTATACTTAAAGGTTTCACTCAAAATATCAAATAGCTTAAAAGTTCATATGAAATGAATAAGAGGAAATAAAAACAGATGATGATAATAATTTCAATTATTTCTATGTATTGTAACATCAGTTAGAGATTGGCATTTTCTACTTTATAGTCTAGGTGTGATTAGTTAAGCAAGTGAAATTTCTCATATAATTGAGTTTAATAAGAAGACAATGAATAAAGGTTCTGAAGAATATCAAATATTATGTAATAGTGTAAGAAAGGTTTTAAGTGTAATCATTAGGTTAATAAGAGATAAGGATATAGAGTATGTGCGGATGAATTCTCTAAGAATAAGAGAGTTAAAATAAATTCAAAAAATTAATCGTATATATTAGTATAGAAACTTCTTATATCATAGGTAACGTCCTGAACTTTATATCTATTTTTTTATATGTATTAATAAAAAATTCTTGACAAAATTTCGTTGACAGGTCATTAGAAAAATCACATATTTTTTACTTTAAATAATTGTATATATTGCATAAAATTTTTTGAAAATAGGATCTAAGATTGACTCACTTAAGCAAAAAAATATTAGACTTAAGGCTGAAAATATGGAGTTAAGACAGGAGCTTAATGTCAGAAACAATGAGTTAATAAAAGCTATAGCAGATTCTTCAGTTAAGAATAATAAACTTAATGCTAAAATAGTTGCACTAGATAAATATAAGTTAGCTATTACTAAACTCAATTATTTGAGTCTAAGAATGCTGAATTTAGAAATAGATTTACAAAGTTAGAATAGGATCATGGTCAGACATAAGATACAGTAATTCTTCTAATAATAGTTTATCTAATTTCAATTTCATTACATATCATGATTATTTAAGCAAATTATATAATAATAAATCATCAGAGGATAAAGTGATAGATGATTTCTTAAACTCTAAATATAAGAAAAAGATTAGTAATAAGATAAAGTAATGTAATAAGAAGAAAAAACTTCTATATGAATTAAAGTTATCAGATAATACAAAAATCATCCTGCTATCTACTTTACTAATACTGCTAGAAGAATCAATTTCTAAAAAGCAGAATTACGTGATAATCACTCCAGATAATTCATCTAAAGTCTTCGAATCTTTAAACTTAAAAACTGTGAAAAAAACTTTAGGATTAGTATAAAATAAAGAAGCTCAATCACATAAGAAGAAAGAAGTGAAAATATTATGTAAGATGTATTTAATTTTATCATCAATGAATCTGATAAAAATCACATGATGAATTTTTTACTAATAGACTATCAGGAAAATATTACTAAAAAAATTCAGATATATTGAAAAATATAGCCTGCTTATATAAAGATACATGTAATGCAAAATGAAACGATAAAAGCCAATTAGGCAGAAATTTTATACTGCTGTATAATTTTATTATAGAACTAGATAAAAGTGTATAGTTGAAGCTCTCTATAGTGAATCTTTATTTTTAGAGGTTACAATTCGTTATAATAAGAGAATTTAGTAATGTTTTACTGAATTTTAAAAGATTATTCGCTATAAAGTAATATTGAATATCATATCTAAATTTAATATATAATTATAATAGAAAATCATAACGCATTTACATTTTTATTATATATTCAGAAGGTCAATTTTTATTGGTTATAAATTTAGCATAATTTTATTACAATAAAATCATAAAAAAAATTAAAAAAAAATTCTTTTCAACCTATCAAATATATCTTATTCTTTATTAGTATTAACTCTATTCATATTTTCCAAACATGAATCTAACGTAACTTGCTGTTTAGATTAGAATTCTTCTCGTTTTACCGTATTTTGTAATTTTTTTACTATCTGAATTTGATCTTTTGAAAATTAATTTTATCAGATTTTTATTCTACATATATAATTATTTGGTTAAGTGCTGCTAATGCTTCATAATTACTGATAATAAGAATTTCTTATTCTTTATTATTTGATTCTTTTTCTGACTCTTTCATTAATTTTATAATTTCTTCATCAGTTATCATCTTATGAATTGTTTCTTTTTTTTCAGATTGTAAATATTTTTTAGTAGAAATTAGATTTTCATATATATTAGAAGTTAATTGATCAATAAAATCTTGTATTTTATTGATTTCATCATATTCATCAAAATCTGTGAAATCAACAAAATCATCAATATCAATGTTTTCATCACTATCAGTATTTGGCGAAAGAATATCTGTTTTTTTTCAATAATTTACAATTACTTCTGGTTGAACCAAATCTCATACTTTTGTTACATATTTAATTACTTTTTTTATTGTAATTTCAGGTATAGGCTGACCAGTTTCTTGATTATTATCAAATGCTTTAATACGATTTTGCAAAAATAACTTCCAATATTGTGTCTATATTTATTGATAAATTATGTATTAGTAAGTTGATTTTTTATTTTATAATATGAATTTTATTAAAATTACTTACTTTAAAACTTCTAATAATTCCAG